AACTTCTTATTGGCACATAGAAATTTAGGAAATTGCAAATTTCTTTGGCAAGAGCTCTTAATACAGCAAATCACAGACCTTCAATATAGATTAAATAGCTCAGATCGAGATGGTTATTTAGCAAAAATTTGAATTAAGCAAGGCTTGTTAATGGCAAACATTATTAATAGAAGCTGGATTTTTGAAGCTGACTCAACTTTAACCTCGATCTGGAAAAATAATACAACATGCTTAATTTTGCACAAGACAAAGGACTTTAATAAAAGCATTCAACCTATTATTGATCAATGGCATTTTCAAGGAACCGGCCCACAAATCAGAGAAGTCATAGACGCAGCTCTCTTTATAATAATTTAAAAGATCTGGGTATTATATACCAGGATCAACTTCTAGACAGAGAGAGAAAAAAACTTCTAACATGGTAGCAACTCAAGATAGCAAAAGGCAAAGCCAGAGTGGGGCAAAAAGCGAAGTGGTTTTTAGTTATAGAAGACATTCTACTAGAGAACCCTGAGAGCAGAAAGATCAAAGAAATATATTAAATGCCAGGGCTAAACAATCTAGTAATGCCAATAGTACCAATCTTATCAGATAACAGGAAAAGAGAATAGATCTTATTAAACAAAGAAAATGAGAATTTGGAGATAAGAAAAGTTATTAAAAAAGGCAAAAGCAAAATCTTCACAAAACGCTAGTCAACAAAAGAAAATAGCTTAATGACGGGTTATGTAGAAGTAGAGCAAATTACTGAAACATCATCACCTGAACAAAATAAAAAATATAGTTGGATCAATCAAAACAATGTGCTTATAGTAATTTCAAAGCCGCTCCAAAAAATGAAACAAAAACAAATCCCCAAATACAAGGATATTTTGTCTAGCAAAAAAAGCAGGGGTAAGAAGTTAAAACCTGGTAGTGAAGAAATGATATTATGTGGATTACAGAATGTGGAACTATTAGATAAGCAATTGATTTTAGACCAGAATTTTAATATAGATTTGGCTAGTGCTTGGACCCGTGAACCCTTATCTGGATATCCGTACAGTTAACCGTAATCCGGATATCATAAAATGCTTCACGGATAGTAACCGTATTCGTCAATTTTGGACGGATAACCGTTAGGTTATCCGCGGGTATCTGCAGATAGAGGATATCCGTATGGTTAACCGTATATCCAGATCATAAAATGCTTCACAGATAGTAACCATATCCATCAATTTTAAACGGATAATCTAACGGGTATCTGCTGGTACCCTGTCTTATTTTAAAATAGATTCTGTACCGGTTCAGGCATGTAGGCATATCTCCTACGTAGCATTTAGTTAGTACGATTTAATTTCTTGTCTTCTTCTTTCAGAAACTGCCACTATAGCTTTTTGCTCTTTGTTTTCTCTTGATAATCTTTTAAACTCTTGGCAAATTTTGCTAATACTAATCGTGTTCTCATGTAAAGGCAACTTTGCATTTTTCTTTTTAACTGATGTTGAGTTTTCTATTGCATTTGGTATTTTTTTATAAGGAATATTTTTTTTGCAGTGTATAATATTCCTGCTTCAATAGAGACCCAAATATGATATATATCCTGTTGAGATATTATACTAATATCTTTGTTTAATGCAATTAATGAGGATGCACGTTTGTCAAAAAAGTGCTGCAGTGAAGATTTGTAGTCTTTCCAGTCTTCAGTTGTGGCTTTTTCGTATAGAAATTTTAAATGAAATTTCTTGTCCTTAGTAGTATTATGAGCCTGGTTCTGCATATTACTTTTACTGTCCAAGTTAATTAAAGTTGTGTTGTGGTCACTTCCTGTTATGCAGTCCATATCTAGAATTTCTGCTTTATATACTTTCCACTAAACCTTCGGAAATCCAAATTTGGTTGATCCGTGTGGCTGTATTACCATTTGACCATGTATAAGCTTGTGTCTCAGGATTTAAATGATGGAAGGTATCTACAAATTTCTGACTTAACATCTATTTATGTAGTGGAAGTTTTTTGTGTATAACTCTGCTACTAAGGCTCTGCTTATCGAGTTCTGGTGTTGTTATGTGATTGAAATCTCCCATAACAATTACCTCGAAATTTGCTGCCCTGCTAAAATATATTTCTTCAACTTGTTGATTAATTATTTCGATTTGATTTTCATTATTTGGTGGAAGGTATACAATTAATACCGCTAGTTTTAGATGTTTTAATATTATATGAAACTCTAATAAATATTTATTGTGTCTTTTAATATTCCCTGTATATTTGTAAATCCTTTCTTTGATAAGGACTTCTACTCCTGAACCTTTCTTTTTGTTAGGGCATGAGCTTGACCAAAAGTCTTTGAATGGGCTCTTGGATGTAAGAATAAATTGACCTTCTCTTTCCGATATATTTGTTTTTATGATTCCTATAATATCTATTTCTTTCTCTTTTGCCCAATCTACTAAATGTAAGAGCTTATAATTGTTTGATTTAAGTCCATTGATATTATAGCATGCTAACTTTAATTCACAGTCTAGGGCATTTGTAGTTATCTTAAGTGGTATTTGCCCTGTCAAGCTATTTTGCT